CAATAAATTTGGGTTGAATACTCTACCCTCGAAAACTGTTGCGATCCCCTATACTTGTGGGTTATCACTCGGACTAACTGAGCCTTTGGTTCGTCTTCGGATGTCAACTTTATTGCCGTGTCGTTCCATGGGCTCAGTGCGGTAGCTTGGTGGACTTCGACGAGGTCGCAGAGTGCCCTTTTGCGCCGATTATTTGAGGAAAAGGTCTCGAAGACTGTGAGGATGTTAAAGTCATCCCTCTCCGGAGAGTATTTTTCTGGAGTGATGGAGAGGATGACCTCTCCACTCTTTGCTACTTGTCAAAGTACCCAACATGCTCGAAGGCTATGGGTTGGGTCTGTGCGCGGAGTGACATGTATTGGACAGGGCTTGTCAAGGAGTTCGTTAAGAACGGACTTGTGTCCCATGAAGGGTTTATTTTTTCTGCCCATCAACTGGTGATCGGGCGACCCGCTATGGTGTATCCGTTTACTCTGGGTCGTACACTGCTTAAAGGCAGCATGCTCTAGTTGAGTTTTCTGGGCCCTCCATGTGCTTTCCATCGCACAGTACTTTTGCACTACCTGTGATAGTTCCGTGAAGCTCTGTATGTGACGACGGTCGAGGGCATTCAATATTCCCTCGTCGATGCAATTGCGATGAAAGACCGAAACTATGTCGTCGTCGGGGCAATCCTTGATCTTGTTTTTAACAAGCAGGAATCTGGCCCAAAAGCGATGGACCGTTTCCTGAGGTTGCTGCCGCACATACATCAGGTCGTATATATCTGGAGGACCTAAGTTGCTTGGAGAATATTGATTGTGGTGGGTGGGTGGTTTAAAATTTGAATCCGGTCCCACACCTGTATTTGGAGCTTGAAGGTTCTCCGAGACGACCGGTTCGGGTTCGGGGAGATCCAAGGGCTCCCGCGATCCTATCTCTGAGCCAGAGTATGGAAGACGTGAAGTCCCGTCCGAAGGGAGAGTATCTGGCTCGAGGGATTCAGAGACTCGAACATACTTGGTCTTCAACATGGGGAGGGAAGTGTCTTAGATGTGTTCCTCAATGACCGCTACTAGGTGGGTGATCGGTGGGCGATAAATTTCCCTCTGGTCAGGCTTGGGCCCGATCCAATCATAGTCCGTTGAGACCCCCACGACGGCAATGCGGTCCAGCAGCTCGTTCAAAGACGAGACGTCCGCCGGATCCATCTTTTTGGAGTATCCGAGGCTGATGCTAAGACAGCGTTCGGCGGTCGTAGGGGGTGTTGTGGGCTTGACAGTCGTACAAGCTCCTACGGTGAAACCGCTGAGCTAGAGGGTCTGCCCAGAAGTTAGGCTCCTTCCAGAAGTGATATTGTCGTTGATGACTAGGCGAGCCATAAATCGCTTTTGTAGACATCACGACAGAGCTCTCAATGAAAGCACCAATGTCGGTGTCAAAACGGGCGGATCTTGGGTAGGGGGGCCCAAGCTATGCGTCTGAGGATCGATGATAACAGTGGACAAAGGCACACAATGTTTACCCAGTTTCGGGCCCTCTTTAAGGAGGTAAAACCCTACTCCTGCTTGATTATATTCGAAGAGTATAGATGTTACAATAGTTGATCTACCTCAAGATCGTGGTGGCTAAACCTTGGATGTCTAGCCCACGAAAATTCCGATGATGGTAATGATGATCTCTACGGACTAAACCCTCTGGTTTATATACACACCGGAGGGACCTAGGGTTTGTACAAGGTCGGTTTCATCATGGAAGGAAACAATACGCCCAGACTCTAATCTTGCCGTTCATGTATGGAGAAGTCCCACCCGGACACGGAGGATGGTCTTTAGCTTGATCTTTTACGGCCCATCTAACCCGGCCCACATTCTTGGGCCGGACACCTGAGGACCCCCGAATCCAGGACTCCCTCAGCGGCATTGATCAACATTTCCCCCTTAACAACATCACCATTGAGGTACTGCTTGAGGCACAGTAAAGAGCTGATATATCCATGTAGGAACCGCCGAGAGGACTCAGTTGGGGGTGGCCTTTTTTCATGCGTGATCTCATTCCGCACGTGCCAAGTCCTCCACATGATCATCCGTACGATCATACGCGCCGTCTCGTCCAAAGGCTCCAGGAGGGTGAACAACGATACCGCCATGTGATATTGTAGCATCAATATAGTACACACAACCACCGAAGCGAAATTTCTCATATAAATATACGTTGGTTAGCGGATAACATAAACACAGTGTGTATTTTTTTAAGAAACCCAACAACACCAACGGCGCATCAAAGCGCGTCCAACTCTCCTAGCATATTTGAAAGTTAACATCACATACTAAAGATACACCCAGGGGTGAGATCTCATGTTGTCGCCATCACGTTTCACGAAGGTAAACGTTTGCGAACGACGTGCCGGCTGAACGCTCGGCCGGTTACGCGTCCACACAAGCGCCACGCGGTCAAAGGGCCTGCACACAGATGTCCCTCCTATCCCTCTTCTTCTTCCTTTTTTTTCTTCTTTTGTCGCTCATCTCTCTCTCCTTCTCTGCTTCATTCTCAGGCCCCGTCGTTACCATCGCCGCCTGCAGGCCTCCCAGGATGCCGCGGCCACGGGAATCAGCCGATCCAGCCGCCCTGAGCCAGATTTGCTCGGATCCGCGCCATCGGAGCTCTGCCTGCCTCGTCGGACCCGACCACGTCTGAGTTGCAATCGACCACACGCGGTGCTGCAACCGTTGAACCTTTTTCCTCCCGGAATGGCACCACATCGACGATGGCCATGGGCAGGCGTGGGAGCTCGGCGGAGTAGCAGCAAGTAGCTGTGAAAATGGTTGTAGCAAATTCCAACACCGGTTGTAGTAAAACCAACTATTGTTGGAGCAAAACGACGTCATCGTCATCACAGGGTTCACAACTAAGACAATAAGTTTGAAGCTTTTTTCAGTGCCGGTTGTAGCTTTTGTAACCGTCGGTTGTAGCTTTTCGTTTGTCGTCCATGGCTCACGACTCCACAGTTGAAACTTTTTTCGTCGTCGGATGAACCTTTTTTCGTCGCCAGATGAATCTTCTTTGTCACCGGTTCTTTGGTCGTTCATAGATTTCCGTCGTACGAGTTGAAACTTTTTTCGTAGCCGGTTGAAACTTTTTTCGTCAGCGATTGTAGCTTTTTCTGTCGTCAGTTGCAGCACTGGGCATCTCCCTCGGCGCTCGATTTTTTGTTGCAAGCGGATGATGAGCGCCGACGAGCACACCGGTGAGCTCCGGTCGTCGCCACCGGAGCTACAACTGTTGCCACAGAAGTTACAACCGCAGGGGTGGGCTGTTGCATGGGCGAAGCCGGTGACGAGGATGGCGGGCGAAGACGGCGGGCGAGGGCGGTGACCAGAGACGAGGAGGGCAGGTAAGGGGGTGGCGGCGAGGGAGAACGCGTGCGGCCGGCGAGACGGGGTTCCTTTTCTCGTACGCGCTCGCGAGAGGAAGAAGACAACCTAGTTGAATAAAGATCCAATGGTTCAGGACGGACCAATCTGACGGCTAGGATGCGACCAGCCGAAACGTTCGGCCCCGCGCGCCGGCGCCCGACATCGTCCTTTCACGAATCACAACAACGGCAGCAGCAGATCTCGTGCTCCTACCTTCATTCTTTTAGAAGAACGAACAGTTTTATTTCAGCACGACTGCGCCGCGTGGCAGAGAATCCAACAGATCCGCCCTCCTCGGCAGCAGCAGCCAAGATTTGAAATTCGAAATCCGGATCACCGCCGCGCTTACGTTAGTTAAGCCACGACCCTGGTACTCTTTCTACTAACCGTCGGTTAAGGGCATTCCCGATCGGACGGCCACGGAGCGACCTCGCGCGAGTCGCGTCC